GGGGGGGGACTTTAATTTCTAACAGTGTGTTAGTGTACTGCCATCCAAATAGAATACGTTCAGAACCTGGAGGGTTTCTATCCAGATTTTAAGTCTTGAGCTGAGACTTAAGAGTTTAAAATAGATACTCCCTGGCTGAGAGTGTAGCTCAGCGGTAGAGTACTTGTCTAGCATGCACAAGGCCCTGAGTTCCATCCCCAGCACTGCAAAACAAAGCAAAAAGTTGTTCTCTGCTTCCTCCAAACCATTTGTAGTTCTCCTGAATTCTAATTATACCACCTTAGTGACTGAATTAAGGTATACTATTGATTGTGTTTCTAAATTGAGGGGATCCAATGGCATCAAGGATTGTTTGGCTGGCCACTCATTCTGTGGAAGAAATGACTGATACTCCATGTCCTGCCTCTGAGTTTAGGGCTATTGATAAATAGTGAACAGACGTGAGTGGCTGTTTGATTTGCAAGGTGTGAGACATAGCTGACAGATCGCCAGGGAAGATGGATATTCTGTCTGTGTAGCAGAGATATGATGAATAAGAAACATGAATTTGCACCATCTGGGTTGAAATTTCCCAGTAAGGATGGATATTTATTTAAAAATATTAATGATCATTGACACTTTTCCCTCTTACACTTCAGTGGCTTCCTTTTAAAATAGCTTAGTGAATTGCTGTTTCATTTTTAGTCTTGATTGCTTGGTTTCCACAGCTCAGCCACTTAGGAACTCCTAAAAAATGTAGAGGCACAACCAATGGACTGTTTCTTTGACCTTGGGTGAGAGTTTTCTTTCTTGTTTTGCTTTTAATTTGGTAGTTGCAGAGGCTCATTGATCTCTGTGCGGCTAATAATAGCTGTAAGATGGAGCAAATGATCCTCTTCAAAATGAACTTGACCTGAAGGCAAGGACTTGTCATGACTGTGCTAGGAGAGGCCTGTATATGCTAAAAATTTCCAGTAGCTTGGAACTGATTTAAAATTTATGAGTAGTTTTATGGAAGCAGTTCAAGCAAGCATCAAAACCTCAGCTAAAATTAGTTCTTGCTAGCTGGCAAAGTCTCTGGCCTGGGAATGACACAAAATTAGATAAAATATAGTATTCCCATAAGGTTGCTTGGGTTTTTGGGAGAAGGTCTCACTGTGTCTTCCATGCTGCCCTCAGACTCATGTCAGTCCTCCTGCCTGAGCCTCCCAGCCTCAGAGTACCACCACCCTCAGCTTATTTCTATAAGTTTTTGGGGGCTTGGTCACCTGATAATTGATAATGGTTTGTTCATTCACTCAGTATGTATTTATGAATTCATTTGCCAAGCATTTGTTCATTCAACAAAGATTTCTAGAGTGTCTGTAGCATCCTACACATTAGTCAGGGATCAGGGCACCTTTGGCCAGAAAGGCACAGCCCCTCCCTCATGGCACTGACAGTGTACTGAAGAGCAATGCTTGAACCCCTGGTATGCAAGTGTGCTAAGAAGAAGTGTTGCTATTTTTGTTTGTTTGTTTATTTGGATTTCTTGTTTGGGTTTTTTTTGTTTGTTTGTTTTTTGTTTTTGTTTTAGACAGGATTTCACTCTGTAGTGCAGATTGGCTTCAAACCCACAGTGATCCTCCTGGCTCAGCCTCCCAAGCACTGGGGTTACTGGTATGTGCACTCGGCCCAGCAGTGAGTATTTTTAAAACTAAGTGAGGAGGAGCTGGTCCCTTGCTCTGGGGCTATACAGCAGGTCAGAGAGCAAACACTGCAGCAGGGCTTTTGGAAGATACTGGAGAACAAAGGGCAGTGGAGTCAAGTATGGGCATTAGCTGGGAGTGCTAATTTTCACCCTCTGTCTCACAGCATGGACAAGGACAGTCCTGATGTCCACCAAGATCTGAATGCCCTCAAAACCAAGTTCCAGGAGGTACGCAGGCTCATCAGCACCATGCCTGGCATCCAGCTGAGTCCTGAACAGCAGCAGCAGCAACTGCACAGCCTTCGGGAGCAAGTCAGGACTAAGAATGAACTTCTGCAGAAATACAAGAGCCTCTGCATGTTTGAGATCCCCAAGGAGTAGAGCAAGCAGCTTCCAGACTGCCTGAGAGAAAAGAAGCGAGAGGCCCCACCACCTCCCCACGCAATCATTGGCACTGCTCCTTCAACCCCAGCTCTGACCTGCAGCCAAGTGGGGCTGGTGTGGTACCTCGTTAGCTGAACTTGGTCTTGACTGTGTGGACATCAGCCCACAGCTTCTGTGTGTGTGCATTTTGTGCACCCTAACTCCTGAGTGCCTGCTGCTGCAAGAAAGAATGTTCCTGAGGCAGGAGTGGGGGTGGCATGTTGGTTCCATTCTGTCTCTGGGGAGGGGCCATCTGCTGTGCCTAGGCCCACCAGCAGCTCTGAAGAGCACTGTAGGAAAGGAGGCAGTTCCTGCTGTTTCCGGCCCTTGGCTCCTCCCACCCCCAGTTCAATCTGGGTATACTGGGTACATACTGTTCCCATTAGCAGTTTCATGAAACATTTGCATAGAATTCACTGCTTGAGTTAGGTCTCCACTCAGATGGCTTGAATTTAATAGAATTAAAAAAGACTGTGAGAAATGAACACTGTTTTGAAAGGCCAAAGGGTGGGTGGCTTTTCCTCCCTGGAACAGTTTAGTTCCGTTTGTGTTTGAGCCAGTGAACAACTGTGTCTGTGGGGTGCAGCCCAGAGCCCTGGCAGCCCTGAAGTCAACCCCACTTCAGGCTCCCTCCTGCTCCACCTCCTTACCACCGACTCTTGCTTCATCTCCTGCAACCACTGGGCCCAAGAGCAGCCAGCCAACCTACAGTGCAAGGCACCCCTCCCTGCACAGGTCCAGTCGGGTTTTAGGCAAGCATGTCTCTCCTCCAATCCACATTGCTCTGGTTTAGAACATTCTTTCCTTTTTGCCTCCTCACCAAAGAGGCATTGTACTTGCTACCTTGCAAAGGGTTTCCAACATGCTTTTTGTCCAGAGAATCATGGCTGTAGTGGCAGTTGTGTGGTCTGTCAGCCAGATGTCCAGGACAGCTCTGGGTCAAGGTTGGTGGGATATGAGCTTAATCTGCAAGCTGTGGCAAACTTCTCATTCTTAGATGTTTACATATACACTTGATTTTCCTAGCTCTGCTGCTTTCTTCCCACTAGATGGTATTTGCATCCTTGCCTGTGACTGTCATACTGATAAGTGATAGTAGTCCCTTCCTCTGCTCCTGAGGGGAAGAAGTAACTAAACACTGTTCAGATCTGGAAATGGGCTTGCCGCCTGTGCTACCTAGTCAGGGGCTTAGCAGTCACCTACCAATGGCCTCATTGGCAGCAGTACTGGTTGGGGTGTTTGTAGCAGGAGTTCTAGTGGCATCAGCCTGTGGCCATCTATCAGGGGAGGGTTGCCATTTTGGGATCCCACAGCTGTGTGAGGGAAGATACTAGTTTTCAGCAGCCTGAAAAGCAGGCTCTGAGTTGAAGTGGAAGATCACTTGTTAAACTAGTTGTACCTAGAGATTGATACTTAACTGAATCAGTTATTTTGTTGAAATTTCACAGTAGTGAGTGGGCCTGTTTAAGGGCCTCACAGTAACCCATGCAGAGGGGCCTTCTCTGTATTTCTCAAGTGATGAATTAAAAGTTTGGCAGATGCTGGCTTCAGCTTTGCAGTTGGGGTTGCAGGGAGAATTGGGTCACAAGTCACGAACAGGTGCCCCTAACCACCAAAAATGACTCAAGGCACAGGAGCCCATTGGATCCAAACAGGAGCAGCTTCTAGAAACTGGAGGGAGCCCAAAGGCGTGGGACTTTAACTGTCTCCAGTAATGTGGCAATCCTGGAGCAAGGGGACAAGGGTCCAAATAACAAAACAGAAAAATTTCAGACAATAGCTGGGTACGGTGGCACAGGCCTGTAATTCCAGTACTCAGGAGACTAATGCAGAAGGATTGATGAGTTCAAGACCAGCCTGGACTACCTAGTAGCAAGACCCTGTCTCAATAAATAAACAAATAATAAATAAATAAATACAGATCTTTAGAGTCTAAGAGGCTGGAATGAAGGATGTCTCCTCAGAGGAAAACAAACTGTTCTGTGTTTCACTTTTTTTTTTTTTTGCAGAACCGGGGATTGAACTCAGGCCCTTGTGCTTGCCAGGGAAGCATTTACTCTACTGAGCCATCTCCCTGGCCCCTTGCATTCCATTTTTGACTTGAGACATTTTTCATATGTATAATTAAAAGAACTTACATTGTGCTCTCAAGACAGCATGGTCTGTTTTTGTCATGCTAGGGCCCAAACCCAGGGAATATTGGGTTTTATGAGGAATTCAGAGTGGATGTTCTTGATGGTTGAAACTGTTCCAGTGGCTTAGACACAGATTGAAACTGGAAGACTCTTGTGTCTTCCCTCCCTCCCCCCAGCACCTCACCAGTTAAACCAGTGTAACATGGACCAGCTCCTCCCCTGGATTCCATGACTTGTGGCAGTGTCTGCCTGGCAGCGGCCTGGGGCCACCCCTTCTTGTAGGGGTAGGTGCCTTTTGGTGGTTTGAGGACCAGTCCTGGCTGAGCAGCTCTCTCTAGAGCAAGGTAAAATCCTTTGCTGGGACATTGTTGAGTGTCCCTTGAAGGGCTGAGCACCCTCTCCAGCCCCCAAATCTGTGGGCAACAGACACTTGTGCTAAGTACTTTTGAAACACTACACTTAAGCCTCACAGTAACCCATGCAGAGGGGCCTTCTCTGTATTTCTCAAGTGATGAATTAAAAGTTTGGCAGATGCTGGCTTCAGCTTTGCAGTTGGGGTTGCAGGGAGAATTGGGTCACAAGTCACGAACAGGTAGGTGCCCCTAACCACCAAAAATGACTCAAGGCACAGGAGCCCATTGGTTCCAAACGGGCAGCTTCTAGAAACTGGAGGGAGCCCAAAGGCGTGGGACTTTAACTGTCTCCAGTAATGTGGCAATCCTGGAGCAAGGGGACAAGGGTCCAGCACCAGCCTGCTCTTCTTGGGTTCCATTTCCTATGTGTAACATCTGGGACCATGTAACATGCCCAACAATCTTGAGATTTGAGCTTGACAACCTGTACGTACCCCAGGTATGCCCCAAATCTAGAGATAGGCTGGAACAAGAGTAAGAAGGTTCTCAGGAATCCACGCCTTCAGTGACCAGACCTAAAGACTAAGCAGGCAAATGGCAGGGTTGATTGGGGAGGACCCTGAACTTTTCTTTCTCCAGATTTTGTATTAGTCCAGTCATATGGAGCTACTTTGGAGCCCTTCTAAGAAGTCAGAAGCTATTTTCAGAAAGGCAGGGTTATTTTTTAATTCTGAAGATAAGCGCCAGTGCCTCAGAAGCGGGTCCCCTTTCCCAAGGGCCCTATCTAAAAGCAAAGATAGCACAGTACATTCATTTTAAATAATTTTATTTTATATCAAAACAACAATAATAACTTTAAAGACTTCACACAGTATAAATGCCTGGAGAATTTGTTCATGTCCATGTTGACACCGGAACTACTGTTAAAGTGCAAGTTTTGTGTTTTTTCCTTGTGCAACTTCACACACACACACACACACACATGTAAACAAGCCATTTGGCTCTGATTTGACCCACTCCCTCCTCAGTTTCTGGAGGGCAGAGGCTGGCCCTGCCTCTTGGCAACGTGGTATCACAGATGAGATAATGCCCCATTGTTCCTGACCCCTTCCGAAGCAGAGGGGCAGGATAGTTAAGTGAAGCCTGACAGTGGCAGATGAACTTCACTCCCTCTCCCCACTCCCATTCTCAGGTCTCTGAGAAAGACAGGTTCCCCTCTGCTGCACCCTGTCCCCCCAGCGGTGGGGGTAAGGGCACCAGTGGGGGAGGGTCAAATGTGGGAGAGTCCCAGTCTTCTCCCGTTCTTTGCTTCCAGAACAGATGACTGTCCCTTCTTAAGTGGCGCCTTCCCAAAGCACAGGCCTGGTCTGGGGAGGGAAGAGACCACAACGCGCACCCTGGAGGTCCAGAGAGCACGTGGTTGTCCGGGAGTTGATTTTTATTTTTAAACAAAAAAAGGTCCTCGGGTTGCTTCGCTGGCGGGCCGGGGGCTCCTAGCTGATGACGCAGCGCTCCTTGTCTTTGGCCTGGCTGCCACCGCTGGCCTTCTCACGGATATACATGAGGTCGCTGTGCACGCTGGGCCTGCGTGCAAAGGGGGCCACAATGCCAAAGGCGTCGCCAGGGTCGCTACCGCCGCCGCTGCCCGCCCGCAACAGCTTCTTGTTGCGCAGCGCCTTCTTGTGCAGCACGTCGCAGTACTGAACGGACACCTTTCGGTGCAAGTCCGGACTCATCTCGCTGGGCAGCTTGGCCATGGCAAAGAGCGCGCGAAACATCTGGTCCAGGCTGCTGTTCTTCTTGGCTGAAATTTCAAAGTAGGCGCAGCGCTGGGGGTCGTCACCCACCAGTTGGTCAATCTCACGCTGCTCCACCTCCCGGTAGAAGTCTCGGTCCCCTTTGTTACCGCAGATGACCAAGGGCACGTCCGCATTCTCCTTGGTTTTATTCTTGAGGCAAGATTTGGTGTCCAGGATCTGCTGCTTGAGTCTTTGCACCTCCTCAAAAGAGTCGCGGTTGTCCAGGCTGAACACCAAGATGAAAACGTCTCCTGTAGAGTAACAGAGGAAAAAACGGTGAAGGAAGTGCCAAAGAGGCTTGTGCAGTCGCGCGAGGCACTGACCTTTCCAAGCGCAAAACCCAACACGGGGCAGCCAGACCCAAGGACCGCGCTGCCAGCCCAGCCCTTGCCGGACACCCTTAAACTGAGAGTCGTCACTCCCCTGCTCCCCCGCCGCCTGCCCAATCGGGCTCTCCGCTTACCTGTGAGAATGGAGAGGCGCCGCATGGCAGGGAACGGGTGGTTGCCGGACGTGTCGAGAATGTCCAGCTGGTAGACCTCACCGCGGATGGAGTAGAACTTGCGGTGGAAGTCCTCGATGGTGGGCGTGTAGGTTTCCTCGAAGCGGCCTGTGAGGAAGCGCGAAACGATGGCCGTCTTGCCCACCTTGGACGAGCCGAGGATGACCATGCGGTAACAGTTCTTGGCCGGGATACTCAGCTCCGAGTCGCTTGGACACATCTTCTTGATCATCGCTGCCAGTTTCATTGGGCAGGGGGCGCGGACCCTCCGCGAGGGCGAAAGCCGGCCGAGAGAAGCGCGGGGAGCTAGCGGGGACGCTGGCGAGACCAGGGGTCTCTGCTCCGGCCGGGTTTTGCTCGGGCTGGGGTTCAGGTGTGGCTCCGCTCCACTTCGCTCTCAGGTCAAGACAGCTCGCTCTGCCTCTCCGCGCCCCGCCGCGGCTCTTATAAGCAGCCCGCGAGGCCGCCCCGCCCCCTGCCCTCCCAGCTTCGGTGCGTCACGCCCCGCGGGCGCCCTCGCGCCTCCCAGCCCCCAGCGACCTCAGCCAGCTGCTACACCGTGTGTGCCCTTTGGGCTTGAGAAGCGAACTGAGTCCAGTATAGAGCGCGGATCCTGCGCTCTTACTCCACACTGGGCACAGCTGGTCTGACCCTCTATAACTTTGGGGAAAGACCCCCATCCCCACCCCACAGCACACCCGCCCGAGTACACTTTTTAAAAAATACCTATTTCCCTAGAATATAACGACAATAACCCATAATAGTAGTAGCATTTACTGGGTGCTTGGGCGTACCGTATATTTTTTCAGTCCTCAGAAATGAAACCCCAACACCAGTTCCTCCGGTCCCCAGGCCAGTTCTTAATTCCAGGAGGCCATGGCTGCATGAGGCGGGTTACTACTGGCTTCCAGCACTGAGGTCCGCGCTGCCCACTGCGGCCGCCAGGGAGCAGCAGAGGACCCGCCTGCAGCGTGCAGAACAGCCTTCGGGTCTCAGATTGGAGTGGGGTCTAGGGGCAGCCAGTGGGGTCCGGAACCAAGCGGCATAGGCCTTGGGCTCTGAGCTGGGGCCCAGCAGAACCTGACCCCCAACTAAGGCCCTCACCTCGGGCCTCAGCCTGGTCTTCTTCCAACCAAAGATATTCTGTGGCATGAAGTCCTTAGGGTTGGCCCCCAATCCCTTTCCAGTCTGATGTGCAGAAGGCCAGAGACTCGCCCTTCTTGAGTCAGGCCAGGGTTCCCCTTCCTCCCCAATGCATTCGGAGGAAACTGGGGCTCGAAACCAACTGGTGGGGGTGAGGGAGGCTGGGAGCATAACATTCTCTGGTCCTCAACGTCCCCTTCTTGGAGACGGTACTCTGGTTCGTGACTGTGAGTAGAAAGCCCACGCACTTTCGGAAGGCATGGTCTGATGGTAACAATAACAATGAGTAGTAAATGACCCGAGTTCTCTGGCAAGGGGGCAGCTTAGGGTTGATCAGTAACCAGAAGTGGGTGGGATGCTGCAGAAAGGCCTAGAAGTATGTATCTGTAACTAATGCTCCAGCCAGGGTGGAAAGACCATTCTGGCTGTGACAGACTAGGCTATGCTTGTGTCTTGCTTTAATAGTGTTTGATTTAGAGAAATCCCAGGGAGCCATTATCAGACGCCACAGACCCATCTGTGGGTTCTAGTGTAAGAACCAGCTGTTTACCAAGGGGGCCTGCCTGTGGACTCTTGTTTGCCCAGGGAGGGAGGGGTTCTCCATGCATTGCATTCTGCCCCTCCCAGCAGAGACAGGGCCAAGAAGTACTGCACCTCTGCAGAAGAGTGTGGCTCATCCACACCGAGAGCTCTCACAGACCCAGGAGTGCTGATTCTTGTCAGGTCTGTGCTAAGTAATGCCACCCTCTCTGAGGCAGCCTTTGGGGGACAGGAATTAGTATTCTCTGCATTTTACAGATGGCAAAACTCAGGTACAAGAAAGTGACTTGCTGGGGTCCTACAGCTAGCAACAGCAGTTGGCACCCTAAGGACATCATGCCAGTTCTTCCTTTACTTGGCACCGACCTTCAAGGCACCTGCCTTCTTTCCCAGGCTTCATTTTTGCTTTTGGAAATCTCAAACACACAGCAGCCAGATCCGAGATGTGTCAGTAGCCTGGGCCTAGCTCTGACTCCCAACAAGGTACCTGACAAGCCAGCTGAGGTTGGGTCTTCCACTGAGCTTAGTTCTTGCTCCTGTTGATGATGGGATGAACATGTCTGCCCTATGAGGTGAGGAATCTAGCTCCTATCAGATGCACGCTGCTGTGCACAGTGGTGCAGGGAGCTCACCATAGAAAGGGGCCAGCAGGGTGCAAGCAGGGCACTTGTCACTCCCAGACTGAGGGCTGTTTGGCCTGCTTCCCACACAAACATCATGCAGTGCCTGGGGCTCCAAGTCAGGATGACTTTTGGCTATGGATTGGAAGACTGGAGGATGGCATAGCCTTTTTCCCTGGGGCTGTAGTCCCGGGGGTGTCGATAATAGTAGAGGGTCAGAAGATGGCAGGACCAAGGATACATCGCACCTCTTCCCATGGAGGTGTGGAGTGCCCAGGGCCCAGCCTAGATTCACAGCCTTCCTCCTGATCAGTTCCTACTCAGATTCAAAGCTGGCCTTGACTTTATTCCCCCAACCCCTTCCAGCTGGTATGGGATGGTGGCAGATACAGGATAGCCATGGCTTTTGGGCCTCATGAAGCTGGGTTGTTGGGACTCCTCCCCCAAGTAAGCAAGCTCACTCACTCAGCCCTGCTCACCATCACTTCCATTCTGAATGCCCAAAGCACCCCAGGTGAAACCAGACTCTGGGACCTCCTTTCCACAGGAGTGGGCAGAATGACTTTAGCTCTGTTTTCCTTGTTTACCTCCTTTTTCTTTTCTTTTCAAAAGGATATGTATTATGAGTTTTTAAAATCTAGACCATCTCAGAAAGAACATGGTGACAGGACATGGGAGACAGGGCCTTCTTGGCTATACCCTAGGCCAGCTGAACCACCTGTTAACTCTAGTCTCCTTTTCTTTCTTCCAGTATTTGCCTTTGGGACTGGGGACCAGGCCCTGTACTCATCCGCATGAACACTGTGGCTGGGGACTGAAAGACAAGGACAATCTCATCGGCCTGTCTGGTTCTGCACAGAGGGAGACACACCCTGGCTTCCAGCACCTCCCATGCCCGTCCTGCCAGTCATCTTAGTGTATTTACATCATTATAATGGTACGTGTCATTGTGCAGCAAATCCTTCCATTTGAGTAGGCTTCAGACATGCACTACAAACCATTTCGGAGGCCCAGAGCCTGTCTGTAAATGCTGCTTACTTGCAGTACAGCAGTTTCCCTGCTCAGAATGGGAGGGAGCTGAAAGCATGTGGTCGAGTGTGTGGGGAAGTCTGGGAGCAGGGTGGAAGGCACCCTCACCCCTAACTGCCGGAAATGTTGGCCACAAAGACTGGTATACAGTAAAGAGAATCCAGAAATTCTCGAAAGCTAGTTTGAGGGAAGCAATGGACAGAAAGTGATGTCCTGAGCGAGGGCCCACACAGAGGTGTGCAGACACTTCCAGTGACTGGTATAGGTATGCAGAGCACAGGACCCAAGTGTCAGGAGGACCCTGACATTCATCTCCATCCTGCTTCCTGGCCATATAAAAGCACCTGCTGGTTAGCTCAGCTGTTTAAGCGCCTGCTCATGCAAATGCAGTCAGGCTCAGGATACTACAGTTGGAACCCCACCTCCACCAGCCTTACCAGACCCACCCTTAAGGCAGCCTGAGCCAGCCCCCCCCCAAAAAAAAAAAATCCTGGTGGCCATATGACGCTGGTCCATTGGCATCTGCTGAAAAAGAAAAGACTGAACAGAGCTGGCTTTCTGTCCCCTCTGACAGGGCTCCTCCATCAAGCTGAGATAGAAAATTTCTGGCAGTTTCCTTGTTAGTGACAAGCTCTGTTCTCAACACAGCAAACCCTCCCAGTAGGGGCCAGCTCTGCCTAAGGCTCCCAGCTCTGCCCAAGTCCCATCCCACCTCCCACAGGCTGTGGACCCGTGGGTCCCAGTGTTGTAGTTTTGTGGCCCTGCTCAGGCTGTCCTGTATGTGCAGAGGTCCTGGCAGAGGGAACGAGCACCATCACCTTTGCATATGCAAGCAGAGAAGCAGAGATTGATAAATTAGATCAGACTAGATGGCAGCCCCTTGAGCCCTACAACAGATTCTGGATCCTGGAAATAAAAGAAAGTCTGGGCTCGTGACTGTCTCCTGGCTGGAACCAGAGAACAGCTCTTGTGTGGCCTGGGAGGCCTTGACCCTGTGAGGCAAGTCTGAGGACTTGGAGAATCCAGCCCTGCAGGCAGTGTGGTTACCAGCTCCAGCTGGTGTGGACCCAAGGGGTGTGGGAGAGAGCAGTGTTCTGGCCCAAGTCTCCTCTTTCCCTTCGTTGGAATAAGAGCGTTCATCTCTTCTAATGTCTTTTTCACCCTCAGAGGGCAGACCTGGCTCCCTGACCACATTGTCATTTATTCACTACTCGGCTTCTGGCTCATGCCCACACCACCACTTCCCCAATTTTTCCTGCTGTTGTTTGCATGTGGAATGTCCCTCAAAGGCCCATGTGTTGAATGTGTGGGCCCAAACCTATGGTGCTGTTGAGGGTAACAGAGTCTAAAGGAGATGGGGCTTGGCTAGAGGAACTGGCCCATTGGGATCATGCCCTTGGAGGGGATTCTGGGAGCACAGCCTTTCCTCTCCACCATGAGGTAAGCAGGTCTCCTCCACCATGTGCAACAACCACAATATACATAGGCCCAAAGTATCAAGCAATTATAGACTGAAAGTTCTACAACCATGAGCTAAAATAAACCTTTCTTTTAAGTAAGTTCACCATCTCAGGTATTTTGTTTTAGTAGTGAAAAGCTGACTAACAATCCTCCCAAATTAATGGTAGTACCAGTGAATTCACCACAAAGACAGGACTAGAAATGTCCAGGCAAGAGATCCACTGTAAATACACTGATGTTGATTTTTTAAGTCATTCAGATGAGACTGTAAAATGATACAGACACAGTAGAAAACAGTCTAGCAGTTATTTCAAATGTCAAATCAGTTACCACATGGCCCAGCAATTCTGCCCTAGGCAGATAACCAGAAGAAATGAAACATGTCCACATAAAAACTATACATGTTCACAGCAGTATTCATAATAACTTAAAGGTGGAAATAAGGCAAGTGTCATCCACTGATGGATAAACAAAATATAGTCCACCCATACAATGGAATATTTTCAGCAATTAGAAGGAAAAAGATATCACTCTGGCTTGAAGACCCTCCCAAAACACTAGGTGAAATTTAACCCTCATGGGAGGTATTAAAGGGTGGAAACTGGATCTGACTAAGTGTTCAGTGGGGGAACCTCTGGGAGGTAGCACAGGTTAAATGAGGCCTACAGTCCAGAAGGACTGTGATTTTGTGAGGAGAATGTAAATCAGAATGTCTTTCCTCTGTGTCATGCGCTGCATCATCTTGGGATCCGTCATCTTTGCTGGCAGGAAAGACCTCACCAGATAGAGCCACCTGCTGTAGTTTGAACCTTGAGTGTCCCCCAGAAGCACTTGTTAAAGGCTTGCCTCCAGAATGGTGCAGTGGGAGGTGGTGGAGCCTTTAAGAAGTGTGGCCATGTGGGAGGTCTTTAGGTCATTAAAGGTGTTCCCTTGAAGAGAATTATTGGACCCTGACCTCTTCATTCTGTTTCCTGGTGATGAGGTAAGATGCTCCTTGGTCACGATGTACTGTGTTGCCAAAGGTGCAAAGCAACAGGACCAACTGACCACGGACAGGAACCTCTGTAAACCCGAGCCAAGTAAAGCCTTTGTCTTTGTTGTTCCAGGTAGTTTGTTAGGGTGACAGAGGGCTAATCACCCAGTCTTGAACTTCTCAGCCTGCAGAGCCATTAGCCAATTAAACCTTTATTTGTAAACTAATCTGTGATATTTTATTATAGCGACAAAAGGCAGACTAAAACAAGAACTAACGCATGATAGGACATGATTGACCTTCAAGGACAGTGCTGAGCTGAGGGTGTGCTGGCGTGCCTGCCTGGTGTGTGCAAGGCCCTGGGTTCAATCTCCAGCACTGAAAAGAAAAGACATTATGCTAAGTGAAAAACCAGACACAAGAGGGCAAATAGTGTGCTGTGATTCCATTTACATGAAACATCCAGAAGACAAAGCCAGAGACAGGAAGCAGAGTGGTGACTGATTATCGCTGGAGATTAGCGACAGCTAAGAGGCAAGAAGAGATGGAAATGTTACATGGCTGTGGTGATGGCTGCACACCCCTGTGGATAAGCTGAAAGCCATCGTGTATGTCTGTGCCTAGTAGGTAACTTGATATGAATAACATCCCAATGAGGATGCTTGAATTAGCCTCAAAATGAAACTATAGAGTGACATCTCCTTTCACGATCCCCTCACCCTTGGGAGCTTTTTACCATAGACCTTGCTTCCAGCCAACAGTACTGTCTCTCACTACTGAGCTGCACCCCACTCTGGCCGGGGATCGAAGCATCTCACCAGGCTGCAGGTGCCAGGGCCTTGGCCATGCAGCTCACGCAGGCTAGAAGGCTTCTCACCACTCTGCACTCCATCTCACTGATGCCTGCTCCCCCGCAGGTTAACAGGCTGAGACTATCCCAAGAGCAATGAGGTGGCTAGGGTGTCCTGAACAGTGTGCAGGTGGTGACATCTTGGGGTGACCCCCCACAGGGGCGAGGTTGGCAGGAGAGTGCAGGAGCTGGGCCTGCCGGGCTGGGACTGCTAGTTGTGGGAGTCCTGGCTTCCTCCTCCTGTTCCCGCACAGTGTGATGCGGGGCTAGCTAGTGGGGACTAAAAATAAAGCCAGTCATGGAGGGTGCTGGGCCTGACAGGGAGACGGGGGAGCAGGCCCCAGAACACAGAGGCCACTAGGGGCTGAATCTTTTTGGATACCTCTTGGTACCAAACATCCCCCCTGGGGAGCAGGGAAGGAGACCCAGAGAGGGTTTCGGTACTGGCAAAGGTCTGTTGCTGCCCTGGCACAGGCTGGGATGGTGCAGACCGTGAGGCTGCCTGCAGGGCACCTGGGATGAGGAGGACACAGGTGAGCGACAGCTTGGCTCAGTGATCTCAGCATCCTGTCTACCAAGAGGGAATGGGAGAAGGGCTCACTCTAAATAAGAGGCAGCCTAGCGTGTTCTCGGAGTCCTGGGTGGGTGCTGAGGGAACTGACATGGATGCCAAATTTCCTGGGAGTCAAACTGTGGCCACAGCCCAGACAGTCATGGGACTTCTTTTTTAAGTCACTTGACTTCTGATTGGACCCCTTTTCCTTGAGCCCTGGAGTAGAGTTGCCTCCTGGCACTGGGGGGCCACCCTGGAATCCAGCCATGAAGGGTGCTAAGAGAGGAGCAAGATAAAAAGGAAGAGGTGTGGGAGAGGCTCTGCCACTGAAGCCCTGCCCTGCCCTGGCTCTGTCCTCCCGGAGTCCTGAGCTTGCTTCTCCATGAGGACAAGGACAAGGATGGAAAGAACAGAAGGGGCGCTGGGGTCAGAGTGCCTTTATTGGTGAGTGGGCACAGGTGGGCCTGCGGGGCACAGTGGTCTCAGTGGCCACACAGCAGCATGTCCAGGACCCCAAGGCAGTAGTTTTCAAGGCACTGGAGTGGCCCACGCAGGCACAAGCGAGGAGCAATGGCCCGGTGCTGCTCTCCCCAGAGCGGGGCTGAGTCCTTGGGATGGACCGGGCCAGCTAGGTCCCCTGCAGAGGCACTGCAGCTCTGTCATCTTCTTCGGTGGGACTTGCCGGGTTTTTGACGGTAGATCTCTGCGGTAAAGGGCCTGCAGGATTGGGAGGGTGGTTCAGGTAGCTGGTTGGGGTGCCAACCCCCACCCTGGCACCAGAGCCCTGCTCGGATCCTGCCCATATGAGTACTGATTGTCCTTACCCAGAGTGGATGTCACCCCCCCCAACCCCTACTGTCCCCCAAAGCTGCTTGAAGCCTTCAGAGAGAAGGGGCCAGCATCACCTGCCTATCTGCCATGTCTTGCAGGCCCCGGATGTGCCCACTCTGAGCCTCCTGACCTATGGCCCACCCACTGTGGCCCAGCCAGCAGCAGCCTGACTTTAGGGAAAGGCTCTTGAGGAAAGGCACAACCAGCTTGGCTGTCACGCAGATGTCCCCCAGTACAGCCCCTACTCACTCCTCATACAGGATGGCCACCACGTAGACGAGGGCCACCACCACTGTCAGCAGCAGGCCTGTGGGACTGGCGTGCCTGGAGAGACAAGCCCAAGTCAATGGGGCCCAGCCCTTCCTGTTGTCACCATGGGTGGGTGGGTGGGGTGACACTGGATAGAATGGGCTAGGCTGGCTGTCCCCCTTCCAGAGTCCAGATTTCTAGCAAGGGCCAGGGTCCCTGTCTCCTGGTCTGCCCACCACCTTTCTAGGTTTGCCCAGGATGGCGCTGCTCCCGCGTTCCTCATCTCAGCCCCCAACCTGAACTCAGGAGGAAATTGGGAAGGAAAAAGGGAACAAAGGAGAGAAGAAAAGAGGAAGGGCAGGAGGGAGGAGGTTCTGCCACTTGAGTCCTGACCCCTGCTCACAGGGCAGTCTCCACAGCCACCACCCTGGGAAGCTCTGGCTGAGGGTCTGGGGTTGGGAGGATGACAGCAGTGTCACAGCCAGGTCTGCACAGCCACCTACACGTTGTAGACTCCAGGCACATCCTGGAAGCCCCACCCAAATGACAGGAAGGCCAGACAGAGTGTTCTGTGGGCCCAGTGCTGGACAGGGTATCTGTCACGAGCTCTCTGCTGCTGACCAGTCTCTGACCTTGCTGTGCTGATGAGCACTGAGAGCTCATTAGAGACAACACCAAGGAGCCTGAGCACATCTGCCTCAGGATTCCAGAAATAGCTACTGTGCACCCATCTATTTCTATAGCTACCTCTGGTCCCTGATCAGCAAGCAGGAGAGAGGGGGAGTCTCTGGGACACAGTGGGCAGCAGGGGCCAGGCCCCAGGGCCAGAGGAGACTCTGTTCCCTTGGCCACCCCCATCACAGGCTCTGCACCAAGCTGCCTATTCCTACCACAGGACTGGTGCTTCCCTGCTAACATGGAAAGCTATCTGGGAGCCACTGTGGCCAGGGAGAGATACGGCCTGTGCAGGTTCTGTGAGGGGCAAGACCAAGCTAAACTCTTTCCAAGCTCAGTTTGGGCCTCTCCAGGGAAGTAGGTCACAGGGTTCTAGACTCCCTGTCCTCGCTGTCCTTGAACTTGGAACAGCCGAAGAAACTGGAGAGTGGGGCTCAGCCCTCCATCTCGGCAGACATGGCTCTCACCGTCTGTATCTTGGCCTGTGAGAAAGGGGTCCTAGCCAAGAGGGTCTGATGATGACACTCACTTCTCTTTCCTCGCTAAAGAGGCACACTGTCCCCAGCAAGGACTCAAGGAGAAAAGTGTGGCCCAGCGTGGCCCTAATCACACAGAGACCTTGGAGGGAGGGCCAGCTGGAGAAAGGAAGCCCAGAGGGGGCCCTCCTTGATTGATGCAAGGGGACAGCCATCTCACCTGCAGCAAGCCTGGTGACAGAACCGTGGGGTCTCACTTGTTCTTGGCTCCTCCCTGTGGAGAAGCACCCTGGCCCCTGAGCTGACTGTGAGACTGTGCCTTCACCACAGAGGGGCCCACCTGACCCCATGATCCATTTCCTGTTCCTGAAAACATCAACCACAGAAAAGAGCAAAACAACGCCCTCAGCCTGTGACTGGGGAGCCGGGGAACCTGGGAAGCAAGTCTGTCTCTCTCCCAATGGCAGTGTGGTCTGGGAGAGCCCTAGGTCTCAGTTTTCCCACCTTTCATGGAAGGACTGGACTTTCTTCCACACGTGCAAAATGAAACAGACCTCTAGCACTTAAAAGACAGGCACCAGTATGGTCCTTCCCTTGCCCTGAGCCAAGACGGGGAAGAGGGCCACAGAACCCCCAGGGTCCGGCTCACCCCCTCCCAGCCCCTCTCAGATTTCAGCCAAGAGCACCAAGCATGTGACTGCTTCCCCCAGGGGCAGAGATCTTGAAGCCCCAGGCTGTGGGGTCTAAGCTAGCCCAGAGGCCTTCCATGAGTGTGGAGGAGGCTATAACAGGATAGCCCAAGGGGGAAGAGTATACACGTTGAGATTCTCCTTTCTGTCTCCTTGAAACTCCTATCTGCTGTCACCCTTGGTCCAGCATGTCCCCCTGACAACCCAGTGTGCGGTGATGGTCCTACTCCCAGGTAAGGAAACTAATCTCAGAGTGCTCCCGCTTCGCTGGAGGGTTGGGAAGTAGAGGCCTGGAAAGAATATGGACCCAGCTCTACATTCCTCAGGAACCCCTGGCCCAGCCTATTACAGTTCCACACAGCTGGATGCTGGGCAGTGGGAAGCCGCATCCACCAGCTGAGAAACGTGGGCTGTGGGAGGCTGTCATGGCCCTGCTGAGTCAGCGTCGGGCTGCCGGGTAATGGCTCATCTCTAATGAGCCTTCAGACCATGGGCCCCATCCCCCTGTACAGCCGGCCTCCCAGTGACTGCTCCCCCAACACACACACACACACACACACACACACACACACACACACCCCTCAGAGAACCAGGTTTCCAAGAACCCTGGCCTAGCCAGCCTTAGCCCAGGGCGACTTTATTCCATCATTCCATTTCAGGCCCCAGGGGAGACTCCTGTGAGCTCTGCCCCCGCACAGCTCATAAGCCACCAACTGCTGACTCCAGCACAGGGGCCTGGAACACAGAGGAGGCACCCAGGGGTCAGAAGGACCCACAAAATAGGAGGGCTCTAGACGGAAGGCACTGGGTGCGTGTGTGTGCAGGCATACACATACACATATGTGCACCAACACAGAAAAGGGCTGGGCATGTTGGGGAACCAGGAGGCTGCAGGGAGGGCCTAGCTGGAGGAGGGGTGTTTCACTTTAGACTCATCCTGGGGGTCCCAAGTAGAGATGCTCTCTGTGGACAGATAGTCTGCCCCTCACGGGTCCACTGCCAGGTCCAGGAAAGAGTGGCTGGGCTACAGGTAGTGGAAGGCATGGTCAGAGCTAAAGCTGCAGGGTCAGGGACTATCTGGTGTGAACATTGGGTGGGGCCGGGACAAGTCCCAGACTCTAAGCCCCCTCCACTTCACTGTCATTCAAACCTCAGCAGCTCACTCATGGTGAGTGGTCTCTGCAGTTAGGGGAAGGGCCACTGGGGAATCAGGGGAATAGCTTGCTCTTGCCAGAGGAAGGCATCTGGCCTCCAGTGCACAGACCAGTTTCCCTCAGGATACTTGGTGGCTCAGGGGCTATGGTGGGCCAGGCCCCCTTGGGCTTCTTGGTGTATGGGACCAGCAGACCCCCAGGGCTTTCCCAGCCCTAATACTGCACCAGCTGAAGGCTCACCGAAGTCCAGCCCACAGATGCAGAACACTTTTTACATTTTTAAATAGTTAAAATTGAAAACCTAGCACTCAGAAGGCTAAGGCCAGAGGATCACTGAGAGTTCAAGGTCAGCCTGGGCTACGTAGTAAGTTCCAGGTCACCCTGAGTTATACACTGATACTTTGTCTCAGAAATCATCCAAACAAAGAATATTTCAAGACACATGAAAATCATATGGAGTTCTAATACCAGTGCTCATAAATATAGCCCAGACCTTACCATCCACTTCTAAGGCTCTGTACTGAGCACAGCTGAATAGCTATGACCTGTTGGGAAACTCAAGCCTCAACTCTGGCCCTTTAAGAGAAAGCTGGGAGGTGGTTCTGTTATCACAGATAAGAAACTTGTGGGCAATAAAGGTCCCCATAAAAACCATACTATCTTTTCACAGGCTCAGCCCCCCTAGCCCTCTGGGCTAGCCCCGCCCTTGTGGCGCCCATCAGGTTGGGCATGGCACCCGGTACTCACATGAGGGCCCAGCCCAGGTAGTTGGCTGTGCTTCCCCAGTACATGGGGTTGTCCACTATGCTGAAGGGAAATGTGGTCACTCTGGCCTCCTTGAGGATCCCGAAGTAATCACCTACAGACAGGGAAGGGCAGAGGGGAGGTCACTCGGCCATTTGTTGTCCTCGTCATCTGTAACCAGGGAGGACCCTGGAATGGGCTTTTGTAGGGCTGCAGGCAAGAGAGTCCCTGACCTATAGGAGGCTGCTAACCCTCAAGGAGCCAGCTGAACAGCACATAGGTCCAAGGGCCACCACAAGCTGCTGAGCCCAACCACCTGCTCCGCTTTTCCGGCTCTGCGTCCAACCACCCTGGCCTTCCCATTGTTCCTACCTCTATGCCTCTACACATGCTGCTGCCTTGCCTGGGTCAGTTCCTCTCCCTCTGCTCACTCCTTTTCCTTTGGAACCCTGTGTGAGCTCCCTCTCCAGAAGCAGTATGTCCCGTCCCTCCCTTCTCTTCACCCTGGCTAGCTGCCCAGCCCTGCCCTGGGATGCTGGGCTGTGGCCCCAGGCCTGCCCACCACGTGCCTCCCCTGTCTCAGGGGAGGGGGCGTCAGTCTGTTGGAGCTGCCACAGTGGACCATCAGTCATCTAGCCACCTGGCCACCTGTCACCCAGGAACAGGTTTTCCTCACAGCCACTCTAAGCAAGAAGAAGCAACAGTGGAATCAAAGATACAAATGGCCTAGTGGAGGCCCCTGACCAGTGACTGTCACTGCTGGGCCAAGAGTAGCTGCTCAGTAAAGACGCCGCTGCACCCTTCTGGGCTCCTCTCCCCAGGCATCCCTCCTCCTTTGTCTCCCATCATGCCTGAGGACAATGCAGCTTCATCTTGGGCAGAAAGTAGGGCAGCCAGCATGTCACTGGGAAGCCACTGGCAGGCAATGGTAGGCAATGTATTGCCCATTGTTGGGGCCAGAAGGCCTGTGGAGCTGCCCTGAGAGGCTCTTTCTTCCAAGGAAGCAGGAAATGGGGTAGTGGAGCCTGGAGGCGGTGGCATAGAAACCTGCTTCAGGCTGACTCACAGGGAAGTGACTGCCTTGCCCTACATCCAAAGCCTCCTGGCTCCTTGAGTGCTTCTAGACTGTGTCCACTGGGAGGACAGCCCAGGGCTGCGGCTACCCGCACCTGCCTGACCCAGCCCTGGCCGAGCATAGCACTCAGAGCTGTTCTCAACTCCATTCAAGCTGCACCAGCCCTCCGTGTCCACACCCACGCCCTGCCCATCAAGGGCTGGCCCCTCCGCTCTTCCAGAAGGCAGTACTATGTCCCCTCCCCAGGCAGCCCAGCCTTGCCTTGCCCACAGGTCCTGGAGGAGTCCCCTCCTGTCATTCCTTGTCTTGCAGCTCTGCAAGGAGGACCAAATGGCCCAGCAAGCCCTACTGGTCCCTGCTGTTCATTACTGGGACCCCTTCCATGACTCCCACCTCTCTGGGAAGGGAGCCTCAGCCGCATGAGCCTTCAGGGCTTCTTCCTGACCTCCAACCCTACCCTACCACACCCCCATGCAGCCAGGGTCACTGCCACCCTCCTTTGCAGGCCTCCCTCCTCCCTGTATGCACCTGCCAGCTCCGGGACTTCACCCTGCTCTTCCCAGGCCCCTCTTCCAGGATGACTTCCTGCAGCCTCTGCCTAAGCAAGAAGCTGCGACCTACACTAACACCTCAGTGCTGCAGGCGGCATGGTCCAGGCAGGCCCCGCCACAGACTCACCATAGGTGATCCAGCGTACCAAACTCAAAGGTCACGTGCTCCCTCAGGGTATGTCCTGAGCATATAATCCTGGAGAGCAGTCTCGTGCTGAGAGCCCAGGCCCTCCATACACTGGGACACTGCATAAACTGGCCAGACTCTACCAGTTCCACTGGGCCCTGGAGGAGTGTGAGGCCTGGAGTCTCGTCAAATCTCTTTGTGTCTGGGAGCTGGCAGGGAAGGGAGGACAGACTTTCCATCCCCTGCTGGGCACCTTGGCAGCTATGCTAACTCCTGGGTGCAGCCTGCACTCTGGGGCAGGATCTCTTAGGGACCAGGCTGCCACTTTAAGTCCCTGTTCCCAAGCACCCCTTGCCCTTCAGCTCTATTGCTGATGTCCCCCTCAGCTGCTTTCCCTCCAAACTCCCAAGGCCTGGAAGCTGCAGCTCACATGCAGGAGGCAACATCTGACCAGGCCAGCACTGGACTCCCAGCCCAAAAGAACCAGAGCCATGGGCTATGGGAAGGGAGAAGGGACAAGGGACAAGGTCCCTCCATACCCTGCTGTGCCCTGCATGGAATGGGGAGATGGCTGGGTCTCCTTTGTTCTCCAAGGACATCACAGATTGCCGTGGTGGCCACCATGCCCCACTCCTCTCTGGACTTTCTTACCTAGGAAGGTTCCAGTGAACCCCAGTGCGAAGAAACTGGAAAGCACAAACACGGTGCCCACACCCAGGAGTGCAAGGCCCAGGCAGTAGGTCGTGAGGTTATCCAGGCCCTCCATCTTGGGCTGGCTCAGCATGGCCTGTGTGAAGCTGCAAGCAGGGGACAAGGAGATTCACCACATCACCACACATGGGCAAGTACCCAAGACTGCAATGAGCCCAGAACTCACATACTCAAAGCCCACTGAAGCAGCTCTAGGTGGAGCCTGGACAACCAGGAAGGCACTGTCCAGTACTCACTGGGGACAGGAACAGGGCCCCAGACATGTCAGAGTCGGTTTTTAAGAAAAGTCAGAAATCCATGGTGGTGCACACCTGTCAACCCCAGCACTCTGCGAGGAGAAGGATACTCAAGCCCAGCCTGGGCAATGCAGTGAGACCCTGTCGCAAAAAAAGGTCTGGGGATATAACTCAGTACTAGTACTACCTAGTACATTCATCAGTACCTAGTACTAAAAAAGAGAGAAAGAGAGGGGAGAGACAGACAGACAGACACAGACAGATTGGAAATCCTGACCTGTCTATGGAATATCCTACATGTGAGGCCAATCACGTAGACCATTTTCACTACACATTAGCAGGCTGGGTGCAGTGTAGGAAGGATCACCAGTGTAGGAACTCTGATCCTGTCCCATGAGCAATTTTTACAGAGGAAAGTGAGGCTTGGAGAATGTGCACATGCACAGCAGGTTGTGCAGCAAGTCTTCGCACCCAGTACCCTGCACCTGTGGCTTACCATACATGAATTTGAACATCCCATTATCCCAGAAGATTTAGAGCCTGAGGGCTGTGGCAGGGGGCAGTCTGCACTACTGATTGGCCCCCATGGTCCCTACATAGTCTTGGTCACACTTGAGCAGTCGACCTAAGTTTTAAGGGCCATTCCATGGTCTCCTTTATCCAACAAGTCCCCCCATTAGGCTCCTTTTGGGACCAACAAATTAAAAGCCTTGCTCTGGGGTGGTAGGCTGACCAGAAGGTGTGACCACGGGACTCATCAGTAAGAAGAGGTGGAAACCGCTCCAGTGCCTACCTGCAGGAAGAATGCAGGTGAACAGGCTTGTAAGGGGTCTGAGCCACATCAGGAGGAAGTGAGCACTGCTGAGAGGAAGGCAGTGGACACATCTAAGGGAAATGATGTGTGTGGGGACATCCTTTGTGTATGTACCAAATACACACTTCTGGTTCTCTCCACCATCAGGGCACTTGCAGGAGACATGGAGGTCTGCTGCTCACAATGAGCAACAACTCTTCCTCCGTATCAGCACAAGCAGCTCATGGGCTACCCATATGCAGCCACTCAATCACTCACTCATCTACCCATCCACTTACCCATCTATATATCCATTCATCTACTTCCTCCATCCCTCTGTCTATCCACCCACTCATATCCATCAGTCCACTTACCCACACACATCAATGCATCTACTCATCTACCATCCAATAAGCCAGCCACTCATTCACACATTTATGCATGCATCCACTCACCCGCATGTTTATTCATCTATCCATCTACCCACCCATTCACCCCCATCCACCCTTCTACCCACCTCCTCATCCACTTCTCCATCCACCCTATTCATTCACCAATCTATCTACCCACCTGTCCATCTACCTATCCATCCACCTACCCACCAATCTACACAGCTACCTTTCAATGCATCCATGCATACACCATCGATCTGTCTACCCATCCACAATCTACCCATCTGCACATTCATCCATCCAGCAGGGTATATTCATTTGCCAGTCTCTTCCTAGAATGACTCCACCACTTTCATTCTCTCCCTGGCCATGACACAGGAGATAAGGTGTGGCAAAGGTGGCTGGGGAAATGAGCAGGATTTGTCAACTACAAACAAGATCCCAGAACAGTGCCAAATAATTCTCAGGATCTTGTACGTGGAACTTCTCGCAGGCTCCCACAAGATGTGGACAGCATAAAAGAAGACCAAATGCCACAGGGAGCTCACTTTTGTGACTTCCCATGGAGAGCCCATACAGCAGATATGCAATGCATACTTTTATTTTTGCTTTTATCTTTTCTTTCTCTTGTTCTGCCCAAGTTCACTCCGCAGAGCTGGTTTCTCTCATACTCATTCACTACTCACTTTTCAAATAAACTTTTGGCACTATTTTTGGCTCATCTCACCTAATTCTTTGTCTGAGGCAAGTAGGACCTGGAATGCTTTTGATTGGTGAGCCATTTCTAAAGGAACTACCTGCTAACAGCCTGGTACAAGTTGTGGTAACATAATCCTCACATGGCACTAAACTGCCTCCCAGAACTCTTCCTTCCAACTAGACTTTCTGTTCATGGAAACCAGGCTGTTCCTGCTTGGTCTATTTCCCAGGCACACGGCACAGGCCAGCAGATGGGCCAGAGAGGAAAGGAGAGGCCTGGAAAGAAGCACTGTGGCAGAAGCCTGTCGATGACCTTTCACCAGTGGTGCATGTGTGTCGGGGCAGACTCAGCTGCTGGTCATGCTGCCCACACCCCCAGCTTTCCACCCACCACCATCCTCCTCACCCCTGCTGCCTGGCTCAGGGTCACCCTACACTCCAGATGGAGCTTCCAGCTTTGATTCAGGGCCATGCTGCCACAGAGCCAGGCAGGCATCATGGGCACCCTGTGTTGTGAGAGGTGGCCACACACATACCATGCCTTTTAGGCAGCCCTAAGACTGTAGACTCAGCCAATGAGGACATCAAGCTTGGTACTCCCAGCCTGGGTATCCTCTCCCATTCCCCTGTGTACAGCAGCAGAGTGTTGGAGGGAGCTGCAGAGGCAAGTGCAGGCAAAGCAGAGCTGGTACTCAGGTAACAGAATGTGTGTGGGGGCTGTGTTGAGAGGTGGTACTCTTACGGGCCAGGACACTGACTCACCTGTTGGCCTAGGCCACTTGCTATGAGTTCTCCAGGTCACTAGCAGCTGCAAAAGAAGTGCAAGTTCTTGGAGAAAGAGTGGAATGGAACTGCCAACAGACCTGAGTTCCCAGCCTGTCTTCCCCTCTGAGATATGATGGTGAGCTCTCCCCTACCTCCTTGCACAAGGGTGTGTTGCTGAGTGACTGCACATACTGGGCATTCCACAGCTCTAGGCCTTGTAGACAGTACAGAAGGTAGGAAATCAAGGCAGACACTGGGAGAAGCTCAGGGAGGAAGCATGGGGGCTGCAGTGGAGGCCTCAGTGATCTGAGAGAGGGAAAAGACCATTCCAGAAAAGTCTTCTGCTAAGGCTGTCTCCCTTGAGGCTGTGGCAGAGGACAGAATGGTAGAGTGTGGAATGGACTCTGTACACATGGTGGGAGCACAGAACAGGGAGGCCAGTTGGGTTGTGTAGATGAAGGAAGAGTACTGGGGCCAGGCCAGGGACCAGGAGGCCAGAAGATCACACTGGAGGGAGACCTGGTACGACTGACCTCATCCTGGACCAGGGCTGCTAGGCCTCAGTTTCACACTCTGCACTGGATCACCTGCAATTTCCTCTGACAGAGAATTCACCTGTAGTGCACACCAGGCAACAGAGGACATGGCTATACCTGAGGCTCTCAGCCCACTTCCTGGCTCAGCTTGGAAAGATGAGGACGGGCAGGTGTGGGGCCAGGTAAAGGGCAGAAGAACCCCCAAACAGGTGTTTGGCTGCCCCAGTCGGCCAGGGCCTGCAAATAATTCCTGGCCTGCGGCTGCAGCCCAGGCTAGCTGGCAAAGAGGAGCGAGAGCTCCTTCCAAACAGCAGGGGTGAGGCTGGGCTCCCTACAATGCATAGAAGGTCATTTACTCCACGAGTCTGCAAAAAGTCCACAGGGGCTTCTTCCTGGCGGTCCAACCTGAGCCACCAGACACAAATGCTCTGTGACACAAGTGGCTGGCTTACGGGAATCAATGCCCAATTAGGCAGCAAGCGTCCAGCTCCTGCAGTGAGCCAGGAAAGCACAGGCCATTCCACTCAGGGAATTAGTGAAGGGACAAAAGGCTCTACTGCCAAGCACTGCACAGCACAATGAGGTAAGAGAAGCAATTTCCTTTGGCTATATTCTGCGCTGGTGGCGGGGGTGAGGGTGGAGACTCATGCGTGTGCCTCGGCTTCTATTTTTATAACTTGGATTGAGCTTTCAGTCACCAATGTGACCTGACGCTGCCTGTCCCCCACTCCACTGAGATCCCAGATACCTGATGGGGAGGCAGGAGGTAGATGATACCGTGAGCCTGGGACACATGGGCAACCGGTGCCCACAGCATGCACTTCCCTGACTTCAGCCCTTCAAGACAAGCTGCCACCCATTTCCTATCTCCCCTTTATTTCTTACATAGATGAATTTGCTCTTCCTATTTCAATCTTGAGACCAGCTCTAGCCATTTGTGAAGTTGGGCATTTGAGGGGTTTATTCTCCTAATACAATTAAAATGAACAAGTACTAAAAGAACAATAAGAAAGCTATCCCCCCTTTTCAAAGTATCTCCAAAACCCACTAACAACAGAGATTGTGCTCCATGTTACAAATAAGGAAACAGAGAGGTTGGGGTGGGTAGAAGAGGAGCACAGGATGGTACAGGCTTCTGTTTCCTCAGGGCTTTGAAAAGAGGGGCTCCTGCCTTCCTGTAAGGGACCAGTGACACACACGTCTGGGAATCCTAGCCTGAACCACCTCTTCAGACTCTGGGGTGAAAAAGCAGCCTTCAGTGGTGTGGCAGGCTGCTGGCCCCTGGCCCCTGGCCTCACCCTGGTGGAACTGTACCCTCCTCCCTCCTCACTTCCCCAAGATCCCTGAGACCTGACCACATTGCCTTTCCAGTTCTCCAGCAGCCTGCATGCATGCATGGACTTCCACAGCCTGAGTGATGAAAGATGCAGAGGCTCCCTGACCACCTAGGCAAGCCTCCTCCCATGGCTATCAACTGCCCAGGTGGAAGACAGCCTAGGCCCAGGGCTGCCCTTCAAGGCCAGCTCTCACCAGGGCAACCACATGCCTTTCCCCAAGGCCTTTCTCCAAACAGCCCTGTAGGCTCACTAGAGAGAAACAGCTCTAGGCCATCCAGGTCCAGCAGAGGCTGGCTGGGCAGTGAGGAGTTGAGGGGAAGAGGCCGTA